GGCGCGCCGGCTCTCCAGCGCAGCAGTGCGCAGAGTCGGCTGCTGTGGCGTCCGCCCCAGGTCAGTGGGGAGCGCGGGGCTCGCGCCTCTGCCTCTGCGTGGAACGGCCTGCGCCTCAGCACCCCCGGGGGGAGAGCCCCTGGGTAAAGCTGCTTCACCCAGGCAGACTGGGCTAGAAATACACCTTCAGGGGCCCTGAGACCTCTGAGCTGGTGACCCTGACACCCCTGTTGTACAGTCCCGGGGATGCTTGGATCTCCCCTCCACGGGGAACTTGCTCTCTAGCTGCGAGAAGGGCCTCAGCTGACAGCCTCTGGAACCTGCTGCAGAGGCCGCGGCTCCCCCGGCAACAGGCGAGCATGTGGGGGGCAGGGGGCGTCCGCTTCTCCTCTAACAGCCATCTTTGCCCGAAGCTCCTCACTGGCGTGGCCGCCGCGGGTCCCTCCAGGTCCACTTCGCATCTGCCCAGGTCTCTTCTTCCCTCTTTCCTCTAGCGGGGGACAGAGCTGCATTGCGACCGAAGGCTTTCCCTGTCCAATCCTGCTCCCTCCTCCTGCAGACGCCCCCTCTCTGCACTCGCGGGGTGCTTCAGCCCGCAGCGCCGCCGCGCCCGTGAGCAGCCACCTGAGGCCAGGGCTCCGTCTTCCGGGCTCTGGGGGCAGCGAGGCCTGGAGGCCCAGGGCCAGAGCCCGGAAAGGCCCAGTCATTCCGGGAGTTCAGAGGGGCCCGCTGCCCCGGGGCTGGCTGAGCCGGGCCGTGAGGAGAGTCCTAGGGACCCAGGCCCGGCAAGGAGGGAAAGATCTGAATTTTGCTAGAAAAGGATAAGGTTTGCCTTTGACCATGCAGCAGGACAAGATGCGTGTGAGACCTGCCCAGACCAAGAGAGGAAGGCCGCCTGGCGAGGAGCACGGGCAGTGACAGGGAAGGAAACCAGCCCCTCCGCCGAGAACAGTGACTCAGCGCGGAAAGTGGGCACTTCCATCTTCTGGGGCCACCATAACCAAGCACCACGGACTGGGGGCCTGAAACGACAGAAACTGATCTCGGAGTTGCGCAGCCAAAGTCGGAGATAACCGTGGCGGCAGGCTTGGTTTCCCGACGCCTCTCTCCCCCCTGCGTCCTCCCAGTCGTCCCTCTGTCCGTCTGTGTCTAACTGTCCTCTTCTCATAAGGACACCAGTCCTGCTGGATTAGGGACCGCCCTGAAGACCCCACCTCAGTAAAGACCTGTGTCCACACACAGTCGCGTCCTGCGGTCCTGGGGTTAGGGCTTCCACATGTGAATCCGGAGGACACGAGTCAGCTCATGACAGTGGGCTTTGAAATAATATTTTAGAAACTGGCCTCCTTAAAGATGGCTTTGAAAATGCCGCCCTCTTTCCGCTGCACTAAGGGGGGCTAAGCAAGAGGGGCCGGGGGTTCGCAGGAGGCGGCGGCGGCACGGGAAGCAGCAGTGAGGAACCTGGCAGATCCCAGCCTGGCTGGGTGCCCGTTTGTTTTCTCTGCTGAGCGTGACTCTCTCTTATGTATGGATGGATGGGCGATTTCATTTTTAAATTAAGGTATAATTTACACACAGTAAAATTCACCCTTTTTAGCGTGGAGTTCTGAGAGTTTTGACGAAAGTGTACAGTCATGTAACAACCACCACGATCAAAATGTAGAAGAATGCCATCGTCCCCCAAATTTCCCCTGTGTCCTTTTGTAGCCAACCAGCCTCTCCGGCTCCTAGTCTCTGGCAACCACGGATCTGTTTTCTGACCACACCTCTTTTTTGGTTTTGTTTTCCTTTTGCAAGAAACATCATATTCTCTTGTTTTACAAACACTGTGGACAGATTTTGAAGCCTAAATCACAGTAGAAGCAGCAAATTAGGACGGGGTCAGGGGGTGGGTTGGGGAGAGGCTACCCTGACTGCAAGAAGCACTCGAGAGACCTGCAGAAAGCTATTAGTAATAGGAGACACAAGGAATTGGTATAGGTCCTGCCCTGCGTGACAGGGCCGGCAGCCCCCACAGTGCTTAGGGTAAAACCTCAACCGCCCACCAGGCTGCCAAGCCTCACGCCGGCTCTCCCCTTCCCCGCCCTGTCGGCTGCCCTGAGCTCCCGCCCGCCCAGGACGGCCACTGCAGAAAGTGTTTCCTGTGCCCCGGTGCTCTTCCCCTCTTTTGGAGTCTGGGTACCATTTTGACTTTGTGCCATTGATTTAAACACAAGCCCCACAGATGACTCCACAAGCAGCCACCCAACCACTCACCTTTGCAACTTCCTGTTTGGTCCTCTGCCCAGCCATCTGATGGTTTTCTGCTTCACACGTTCATTCATTTGCTGAGCGTCCTGAGTGCCCAGCACGAGGCCAGAGCACAGAGAAAACATGCCCCAGTCCTGGGGGAGGTCGCTTTCCAGTGCCCGTGGCAGTCAAAACGCAGCCAGACAGTTCTGTAGCAGTCCGGGTTGTGGCCCCTGCTGTGCAGGCCCAGGAAAAGAGCAGAGGCCACAGGAGCTGGCAGAGAGTGGCAGGGACAGTGGTAGATTTGTGCTTAGAGAGGAGAAAGTACGTTTGAATGAACCAGCTTTTGTTCAATTTCTAGATTTTGCCTTTTGACATCTCCTTTAGAGCCAACTGAAGCTGCACATGAAAACCAGAAGTTTCATTTAAAGTTCAGTGTGAGATGAAGTTGGACTCTAAGTGGAAACTGATATGCCCATCTTTTCTTTGTGGAATTGTGAAATTATTACTCTCTCTCTCTCTCTCTCTCTCTCTCTTCGCTGTGGCTGCCAGGAACCTCAGAGACAGCCCCATTTAAAAATACTAATTGTTATTTATTCCTTAATTACTTAGATATGCAACTCTGATAAATCAATTTGACATAGAGATAATGCTTAAATTTAACAAACTATTCCATTATGTGATTTTTATTATGATAGTTTTTATTTGCCGTAAAATTAGTGTCGCAGTTATTTAAGAAAAATTGGAAAGTACAAAAATGTAGAAGAAAGTCACTGAGATTTTATTATTTTA